AAAAAAAATGCATTACTTCAATTAACAAATGTTGATGACCCTAAGACAAAAAGTGAGGTGGAGTGTTTGGGAACATATGAGATTGACAATTTTGAATTCTTACTTGGAATGATTATTTGATATGAAGTGTTGAATAATGTTAACAGAGTAAGCAAACATTTGCAAGCAGAAGACATGTATATTGATGTTGCTATAGACCATTTAAAAGGCCTCATCTCATGTTTCAAAAGTTATAGAGAACCTGGTTTTGAATCGGCCATGGTTGATGCTAAAGTGATTGCAAGTGAATTAGAAACTGAACCAATATTTCGTGAAAAAGGGTTTATACATAGAAAAAAACAGTTTGATAAGACTTCTTCTGAAGAGATAACATAAACAGTTGAAGAATCTTTTAAGATCAATTTTTTCATATATATAGTGGATCAAGCTCTATCATCACTTCAGAATAGATTTGAGCAATTTCAGAAATATGATGATATTTTTGAATTTTTGTTTGATTTGAAAAGACTTAAATCTATTGATGATGATGTTTTGAAGTGTTCTTGCATTAAATTTGAAAATTACTTGAAGCATAAAACGATTTCTGATATTGATGTAATAGAATTATTTTCTGAGTTGAAAGTTCTAAGGGAAGCGATATCTGCAAATATTTTTTGAGCAATTGATGTATTGGATTACATTAAGAAAATGAACTGTTATGCAAATGTTTGGATTGCTTATAGAATATTATTGACTATTCCTGTCACAATTGTCTCTGTCGAAAGAAGTTTTTCAAAGTTGAGGTTGATTAAGTTTTATCTTCGATCATCCATGTCACAATAGCAATTGAATGGATTAGCTATGATTACTATTGAAAAAAATATGTTGGACAAACTTGATGTTAGTAGTTTGATTATTAATTTTACATCTCAAAATGTGAGAATGTTAAATCTTATGCTAGCCTAATATTTCAGGTTATGAAAGAAGTTTTATTTTGTTATTCTATCTTTCGAATTGTATAAAGTTTTTCTTTCTAATATAAAAGTGTTAATTATTTAAATATTTACATATTGTTGACTTGTAAAATAAATTTTGTGTTGAGGGCCCCAAAATAATTAAATGCCGAGGGCCTTTAAATTCTCAGGACCGGCCCTGGTGCTAAGGATGTGCATGTCGCATAATCTTGGGCAGACACTTATAGAGTTAT